TCATCGAAGGGTTCTGCTCCTCACAGGCTCCTTGAAGTGGCTCCACGTCACCCCAGCGCCCTGCACGCAGGGTCAGGCCACGGCGCAGCAGTAGGGCCCTTGTTAGGCAAAGGCTGTTCTCCACGTGGGGCCTCTGTTTGCATCACACCTGCACCCTTCACTCCGCCATATGGCCTGGGCTGGCCCTATGTCTCAGGCAGCAGGATGGTTCTTCTATAAAGGTCCACAGGCTTCTTGTTCAGTGAGTAGTGCGCCCCTGTGACCCCGTCTCTCCTCTCATCTCAACTGAGTTTTGGTTAGGCTGCAAACCCTGAAAAGGCTTCCATTAGGAAGGGTATTGAGCTGTCCGATATTTTGATGCTTAAGGCTATTTACACTCACGTGCTTTGTCAAGGGCCTGGGTCATATAGCCTGGAAAATACAAATATTCATCTTTGAGAACCTTGCTGCTCTGAGTGTGGCCCATGGACCAGTGGCACAGGCATTATCTGAGTGGTTACTAGACACACAGACTCTCAGGCCACAGCCCAGGCCTCCTGAATCAGAAGGTACATTTTCACAAGATCCCCAGGTGAGTCTCTAGCACAGTGAAATTTGGGCAGCCCTGCATTAGATGAGCATCAGCCACCTGGGACTAGAAACGACTCTGGATGATCCGAATGTGCACTTACGCTTGCAGTGTGGAAATCCATAGTAGCCCGTTTGACAGCGGGTACACTGCCGCCCAATGACGCCGGGCTGGCACAGGCACTGCCCGCCCTCTGGGTTGCAGTGATGGCCAACAGCTCCAGTGGGGTGGCACTGACAGGGCAGCGCACCCTTGTGGTAAAGGGCCACCAGGGACCTGGCGGAGTTCTTACAGAATCCAGAGGCTGTCTGGGGGCTGTGGAGACAAAAGCAACTCGTGTGATATCCCAGGAGGCATGCCTAGAAACGGTCCCAACCGTCCCCTTCTCACTTGCTCCACCAAGCTGTGTCTTTGGGGAGGGACTCTAGCTCTGGAGTATGGGAAGATATGGGAGGACACCCATATCTCACAGCCAGAGACGGCCACCCTTCCCCCATCCATTCACTAAAGAACGCATCACAGACTGGTGGTAGGAACTTTTGGTGGCTGGAATAAAAGGATGTAAATTCACCTATAGGATGAATGGTATGATGTGGATTA